AAAGGGTGTTTTTCAAGTGAAAATAAAAGAATGTGAATTAGCAACATAAAACTTAAAGAATGCATGTGTACATTTCACTAGTAATTGTAAATATACAGTAGCCAAAGTCAGATTTCCTAATGTTGTAATGATGGTACTTTAGTTGAATAACTAATTTTACAACTCTAGTTTAAGAAATAAAAAAACAAAGATATTAAAAATAACTACAGTAATTTTTATTAGATACATAATATAAAAATACATAAATTTTAACAGTAACCTAAACTGGGGAGAGAGAGTAAGACTGTAAAGTTTAGGTATATTATTGGAGTTATTATCAGCTTAAAAGAAGACATTATATACATCATATTTTATATAAGCCTCATAGCAACTACAAAAGAAAAACCTGCAGAAAATACACAAAACATTAGGATAAAGGAGTCCAAACATACTACTACTAAAAGTTAGCAAGTCATAAAAGAAGACAACAAGATTTGAAGAAACAAAGGATCTATAAAACATTTTTGAAAACAATAAGTAAAATAGCAATAGTAAGTCTTTACATATCAATAAGTAATTTAAATGTAAATTAATTAAGTTCTCCAATCAAAAGACATACAATGTCTGAATGGCTACAAACAACAAGAATCCAAGAATATGTTGCATATAAGAGACTCACTTTAGTTTTAAAGGCACATAGACTGAAAGGGAATGAATGGGAAAAGATATTTCAAGCAAATGATAACCAAAAGAATACAGAGTTAGCTAAACTTTCATCAGACAAAATAGATTTAAGTGAAAAATGGTAACAAGACAAAAAAAAAGGTCAATTCATAAGCAGGATGTAACAATTGTAAGTAATTTTGCACCCCAAATTATAAAATCTAAATATATAAAGCAAAGACTAACAGAACTAACAGGAGGAATAAACAGCAGTAGAATAATAAATGGAGGCTTTAATGCCCCATTCTCAACAATAAAAAAAATCATCCAGACAGAGAATAAGAAAACAAGAAATTTGAAATTTACTATAAACCAAACAGATATACACAGAACACCCCACCCAATAGCAACAGAATATACATTCATCTCTAGCGAATACAGAGCATTTTCTAAGGTAGATTGTATTTTAGACTACAAAACAAGTCTTAGTAAATTTAAGAAGTCTGAAATCATATCAAGTATTTTTTTCCCACAACAATGGTATAAAACTAGAAATAAATAACAGCTGAAAATTTCACAAATACATGGAAATTAAACAACACACTCCTAGAGAATTAATGAATCTAAGAAGAAGTCAAAAGGAATATTGAACAAAATATCTTGAAACACAGGAAAATGAAAACACAATATACAAAACTTATGGCAAGTAGTAAAAGCAACCTTAAAAGGGAAGTATTTAGCAAGAAACAGATACATTAAGAGAAAAGAAATATCTCAAATAAACAACCAAAATTTACACATAAAGGAACTAGGAAAAGGAGAACAAACTATGCTCAAAGTTAGCGAAAGTAAAAAATATGAATATTACAACAGGAGTAAATGAAATAGAAATTATAAAGACAATAGAAGAGTTAGCTTTGATAAGATTTATAAACTTTATAATATTTATAAACCTTAGTTAGATTAACTAAGAAAAATAGAGAAAAATACTCAAATTCATAAAATTATAATGAAAGAGGAGACATTACTATTGATACCACAGAAATAAAGATCAGAAGAGACTACTATGAATGATAATACATCAACATATTAGTTTAGAAGAAACGGATAAATGTATAGAAACACATAACTTCCCAAAACTGAATCATGAAGTAATAAAAAATCTGAATAGACTAATAATAAGCAAGAAAATTAAAGCAGTAATCTGAAAATTCCCAACAAATAAAAGTTTATAGACCAGATGGTTTCACTGGAGGAATTAATGTTGATTCTTCTACAAGTCTTACAAAAAATTAAAGAAGTGGGAAAACTCCCAAACTCATTTTAAAGTCTAACATTATTCTGATCCCAAATAGAGACAAGAAAAGAAAACTACAGGCCAATATCCTGAAAGAATACAGATGTAAAAATTCTCAACAAAATGCTAGCAAAACAAATTCAACATTACATGATACATAATGATCAAGTGGGATTCATCTCTTGGATGCAAGGATGGTTCAACATACACAAATCAATAAATGTGAAGGGGTGAGGGTATAGCTCAAGTGGTAGAGTGCATGCTTAGCATACACAAGGTCCTGGGTTCAATCTCCAGTACCCCTTCTAAAAAAAATGTAAACCTAATTACTTCCTCCCCTCAAAAATAAATTTAAAAATTATAAGAATAAAAAATAAAGTTAAAATAAAATAAAATAAATGTGATATTGTGATGTATCACATTAATAGCATAAAAGATAGAAATCATATGATCATCTCAATAGGTGAAGAAAAGCATTTGACAAAATTCAACATCCATTCATGATAAAAACTTTCAACAGGCTGAGTATAGAAGGACTATACCTTAACATAAAAAAGGCCATATATGACAAACCACAGCTAACTTTATACTCAATCATGACAAGTTGAATGTTTTGCCACTAAGGTGAGGAGCAAGACAATAGTGACCACCCTTACCACTCTTATTTAAAATAGGTCTGGAAGTACTAACCAGAGCAATCAGGCAAGAAAAAGGAATAAAAGATATCTGAATTAGAGAGGAAGAAGTAAAATTGTTTCTGTTTGCAGATGACATGATATTACATATAAAAAAGCCTAAAGACTCCCCTGAAAAAGACTAGAAACTAATAAATGAATTAAGTTGAATTTCAGGATTCAAACAACATACAATGAAAGAGTTGCATTTCTATATACTAACAATGAATTATTTGAAAAAGAAATATGTATTCAATTACTATAATGTCAGAAAAAATACTTAGGAATAAATGTTTCCATGGAGATGAAGATCTATACACTGAAAACTATAAGATAGTGATGAAAAAATCAAAGACAAAAATAAATGGAAAGCTATTCTGTGTTATTGTATTGAAAGAATAAATACTATTACACTGTCTATACTACCTAAAGTCATCTATAGATTTAATGAAATCCCTATCAAGATCTCAATGAAATATTTTGCAGAAATAGAAGTAACAATTCTAAAATTTCTTTGAAACCATGGAAGACCTAAATAACCAAAGCAATCCTGAGAAAGAATAAGGTTGTAGGCACCAGATTTCCTGATTTCAAACCATATTACACAGCCATAGTAACTGAAACAGTATGGTATTGACATAAAAACAGGCACATAGGTCAATGAAACAGAATAGAAAGCCCAGAAATAAACCCATGCATATATGGTCAACTAATCATTTACAGTATTACTAAGAACATACCAGAAGAAAAAGATAGTCTCTTCTACAAATAGTGTTGGGAAAACTAGATATCTGTATGCAAAACAAGGGTATTAAATCCTCAACTTATGTAACCCCCAAAAATTTATTCAAAATGGATTAAAGACTTAAATGTAATATCTGAAACCACAAACACCTAGAAGAAAACAAGATAAAACACTTTGACATTGATCTTGGCATGATTTTTTTTTGATATAACACCTAAAGCATAAGAAAAAATAAGCAAGACCTCATCAAAACAAAAAGCTTTTGCACAGCAAAAAAAAAAAGATCAAGAAAATTAAAAGGCAATGTACAAAATGAGAGAAAGTATTTACAGATTATATATCCAATAAGGGGTAATATCCAAAATATGTAAGGCACTCATGCAACTTAATAGGAAAGAAAACAAATATTACAATTATAAATAACAAATCTCTTGAATACATATTTTTCCAAACAAGATATTCAAATGAGTAACAGATACAAGAATAGGAGGTCAATATTCCTAATCATCAGGGAAATGTAAATCAAAACCATAATGTAATATCACCTCACATCTATTAGTATGACTATTATCAAAAAGACAAGTGATAAGTTCTGGTGAGGATGTGGAGAAAAGAGAACACTTATGTACTCTTGGTGGAAATGTAAATTGGTGCAGCCAGTATGGAAAATTGTATGGAGGTTCCTCTAAATATAAATAATAGAGCTACCATACGATCTAGCAAATCCCACTTCTGGGTATGTATCTGAAGGAAATAAAATCACTATCTCTAAGATATCTGCATTCTCATGTTCACTGCAGCATTATTTACAGTGGTCAAGACATGAAAATAATCTAAGTGTCCACTGATGAATAAATAGATTAAGAAAAATGTAGTATATATGGAATACTACTCAGCCATAAAATACGAAAGGAAATTTGTCATTTGCAACAATATGGATAGATCTTGAGGATATTATGCAATAAGTGAAATAATTCAGACAAGGAAAGACTGCATGATCTCATTTATACATGGAATCTAAAAAAAAAAACTCATAGAAACAGAGAGTAGATTGATGGCTACCAGATGAGGGAGGTGGGGGATATGGAAATGGTTGAAGGTGGTCAGAAGTTACAAACTTCCAGTTATAAGATAAATAATTTCCTGAGATGTAATGTACAGCATGTTGCCTATATTTAAAAATACAATATTATATATTTGGAAGTTCCTAAGAGAATAAATGTTTTTATTTATTAGTATTATTATTTTTATGGGAATAGAAAGGAGTTTATTGAGTACACTGTCATAGACAACAGCAGGCCACACAGACCAGAGATTCCTGTGTGAGCATCAAGGGCAGGTTGTTGGGGTGTTTTATAAGGTCATGTCACATGCCTCATTGGCTTGTACACGTCTCTGATTGGCTGTAGGTGAGGTAAGAGTTTTGAAGCCTGTCAAGGGTGGTGGGATTTATGACTCTGATAAGGTGGGTTGAAACAAGCCAGCCTGATCTATTATTGTAAGATCAGGCTTTACCTAGGGCTATTGGTTTGTTACAGCAAACATGCCCAATTAAGAATGTACTTTATCTGCTGAGGGATAACAGGCAGACATCTGGGGCCCATAAATGGGAGTCATTGGATTTTGAAGGACATCAGTTGGCTCAACATTCCCCCCTGACAGATTGGCAGTGAGAAATTTTTGGAGCAGGAGCAAAGATCTCATATTCCATATCTACTTCCTGCTGAACTGTGGGTGTTGCACTGTCCCTGCCTATTGTGACAATCTGTCCAGGGTTATGGGGCCCTGACATCCTTGCAGCCTTAAAGGTGGGAACAGAAGGAGAGCCAAGAGGTGTCCAAAGGCTGCATCACCAGGATGTTGGCTTGGTTCATGGAGGCAATCTTGGTAGGAGGAGTATATTTTTTCCTAAGTTCAAAAATCTTGGACCTCAGAGAGAGACGATTGTTTTTGTAAGAGACTAATACAACATAAAACAGGCAGATACTGAGATAAATAGCTAAACCCAGTAAAAACAAAAGATGTTTGAGAATGTCTGAAAAGAAAGAAATTATCCCTTCAGGTATCTAGGAAAAAGCATTGGAGAACCAGTCAGAGACCTGTTTAGTGACAAATTTGCTGTAAGCATCGACATACCTGACAGCACTCAGTATGTATTATTGCTAATGTGCCCCCTTCGGAGGATATTAAGAATCATGTGGTTTTGTAAGACAGCTCTCCTTAATGGCTAAAGTAGATGTGACCATTTATGAACTTAATGCTTTTCTGAATATGAGGCAATGCAATAATTTGGGTTCATAAAATCTGTTCCTGAAAATATCTATCTGAAGGCCTATTTGCCAGTTTTACCAGAGCACAGAGTCCCTCATTCTTGATTTCCACCCTGATTGGCGTAGATTGGTGGTTGCCAGATGAGGTGGGTGGGGGATAGGGAAATGCCTGAAGGTGGTCAGAAGTTACAAATTTCTAGTTATAAGATAAATAAGTTCCTGAGATATAATTTACAGACTGTTGCCTATATTTAAAAATACAGTATTGTATATTTGAGAGTTGTTAAGAGAGTAAAATTTTTAATTTTTTATTTTTAAAACCTTTCTTTTGATATGATTCTTATACAATAAACTACACATATTTCAGATGTATGATTTGATGAATTTTGATAGATGTATACACCAATGAAACCACCACCACAATCAAGATAGCTAACATTTCCATCACTTCCCAAGAGGTACAAATTTCAAATTCCCAATTTATCTCTTCCCATCTCCTTTACCTTCTGGTAACCATAAGTTTGTTCTTTGTCTGTGAGTCTGTTTCTGTTTTGTAGATAAGATCATTCGTGTCCTTTTTTTTAGATTCCACATATACATGATATCATATGGTATTTTTTCTTTTCCTTTCTGACTTACTTCACTTAGAATGACAATCTCCACGTCCATTCATGTTACTGCAAATGACATTATTTTATTATTTTTTTTTATCACTGAGTAGTACTCCAGTGTATATATATACTACATCTTCTTTATCCAGTCATCGGTTGATGGACATTTGGGTTGTTTCCATGTCTTGGCTATTGTAAATAGTGCTGCTGTGAATATTAGGGTGCGTGTTTTTTCAAATTCTATTTTCCTCTGGATTTATGCCCAGGAATTGGGTTGTTGGATCATATGGTAAGTCTATTTTTAGTGTTTTGAGGAATCTCCATACTGCTTTCCATAATGGCTACACCAAACTGCATTCCTACCAACAGTGTAGGAAAGTTCCCTTTTCTGTTGGGAGTTTTAAAATTACTGTTTCGATTTCAGTACTGGTAAGTGGTCTATTCATATTTTCTATTTCTTCCTGGTTCAGTCTTGTCAAATAGTATGTTTCTAAGAAATTGTTCATTTCTTCTAGGTTGTCCTTTTTGTTGGCATATAGTTTTTCATGGTAGCTTCAGTTCTGACTTCTTTTTCATTTCTTATTTTATTAATTTGGCCCCTCTCCCTTTTTTTCTTGATGAGTCTGACTTAAGATTTATCAATTTTTTTATCTTTTCAAAGCACTAGCTTTTAGTCTCATTGATCTTTTCTTTTTTAGTCTCTATTTCATTTATTTCTTCTCTGATCTTTATGAATTCTTTTCTTCTACTATGGATTTTGTTTGTTCTTCTTTCTCTAGCTCCTTTAGGTGTAAGTTTAGGTTGTTCATTTGGGATTTTTCTTGTTTCCTGAGGTAGGCTTGTATCACTTTAAACTTCCCTCTTAAAACTGCTTTTGCTGTGTCCCAGAAGTTTTGGATCATTGTGTTTTCATTTGCATTTGTCTCAATTTTGTTTATTTCCTATTTGATTTCTTCAGTGATCCATTAGTAGCATATTGTTTAGCCTCCATGTGTTTGCATTTTTTGCATTTTTTTCTGGTAGTTGATTTCTAACTTCATATCATTGTGGTCAGAAAAGATGCTTGGTATAATTTTAATTTTCTTAAATTTACTGAATCTTGCTTTGTGGGCCAACTTGTGATTGATTCTGGAGAATGTTCCATGTGCACTTGAGAAGAATGTGTATTCTGTTGTTTTTGGGTGGAATGCTCTATGGAAATAAATTTAGTCCATCTGGTCTAATGTGTCATTTAAGGCTGTCATTTCCTTATTGATTGTCTGGATGATCTGTCTATTGATATAAGTGGGGTTTTAAGGTCCTCAACTATTATTGTGTTATTGTTAATTTCTCCTTTTATGTCTGTTAAAAATTGCCTTATATATTGAGCTGCTCCTATGTTGGGTGCAAATATGTTTACAATTGTTATATTGTCTTCTTGGTTTGATTCCTTTAGCGTTATGTAGTGTCCTTCTTTGTATCTTGTAATCGTCTTTATTTTAAACTCTATTTTGTCTGATACAAGTATTGCTACTCCATCTTTCTTTTGGTTTCCATTTGCATGGAATATTTTTTCCATCCCCTCACTTTCAGCCTGCATGTATCTCTTGCTCTGAACTGGGTGTCTTGTAGACAGCATATGTATGGGTCTTGTTTTTGTATCCATTCAGCCAGTCTATGTCTTTTGGCTGGAGTATTTAATCCATTTACATTTAAAGTAATTGTCAATATGTATGTTCTTATTGCCATTTTGTTAATTGTTTTGGGTTTGTTTTGTAAGTCTTTTTTCCTCCCTTCCTTTTGTTTGCTAACAGAGTAAATCTTGAGCCCTCATCAAAAGAAGAAATTATAACAATGTGAGTTGATTAACGTTAACTAAATTTATCATGGTTATTAATTTGCAATATATACATGTATAGAATCATTATGTTGTACATCTTCAACCTATACGATGTTATATTACTATTATATCTAATGAAACTGAAAAAAGTAAAATATAAAATAATTGCAACTGGCCAAACTTTTCCCAATGTGGTTGTATCACTTTATATTTCTACCAAGAATGTCAGTTTCTTTATACCCTTTACTATCATTTTTTTCTGTCAGTCTCTTTAGTATTAGCTATTTTAGTGAGTATGTAGTAGCATTATATTATGGTTTTATTTTTCATTTCTCTGATGACTAATGATGTAGAGAATTTTTCATATGTTTATTAACCATTAATATATGTTCTTTTGAGATGTATCTGCTTGAATATTTTGCCCATTTTAAATGTCTTTTTATGATTTTAAGCATTTTTATTGATTTATAATCATTTTACAATGTTGTGTCAAATTCCAGTGTTCAGCACAATTTTTCAGTTATACATGAACATATATATGTTCATTGTCACATTTTTTTCTCTGTGAGCTACCATAACATTTTGTGTATATTTCCCTATGCTGTACAGTATAATCTTGTTTATCTATTCTGCAATTTTGAAATCCCATCTATCCCTTCCCACCCTCCACCCCCTTGGCAACCACAAGTTTGTATTTTATGTCTATGAGTCTATTTCTCTTTTGTATTTACACTTCGTTTTTTTGTTTCTGTTTTTGTTTTTTAGATTCCACATATGAGCGATCTCATATGGTATTTTTCTTTCTCTTTCTGGCTTACTTCACTTAGAATGACAATCTCCAGGAGCATCCATGTGGCTGCAAATGGTGTTATGTTGTCAGTTTTTATGGCTGAGTAATATTCCATTGTATAAATATACCACCTTTTCTTTATCCAGTCATCTGTTGATGGACATTTAGGCTGTTTCAATGTCTTGGCTATTGTAAATAGTGCTGCTATGAACATTGGGGTGCAGGTGTCATCCTGAAATAGATTTCCTTCTGGATACAAGCCCAGGAGTGGGATTCCTGGGTCATATGGTAAGTCTATTCCTAGTCTTTTGAGGAATCTCCACACTGTTTTCCATAGTGGCTGCACCAAACTGCATTCCCACCAGCAGTCTAGGAGGGTTCCCTTTTCTCCACAGCCTCTCCAGCATTTGTCGTTTGTGGATTTTTGAATGACAGCCATTCTGACTGGTGTGAGGTGATACCTCATTGTATTTTTGCGTTGCATTTCTTTTATAATTAGTGATATTGAGCTCTTTTTTCATGTGCTTGAACGGAGGTTATTTTTGGTATATATTCTGGATTCCAGTCCTTTTTTGGGTATATATTTTGCAAAAATTTCATCTAATCTGAGGTTTGATTATTTATTTTCTTAATGATGTCTTTTAATGAGCAGTTTTAAAGTTAGAGAAAGTCTAATTTTTTTTTTCCGGAACAATGCCAATATAGGTTAAGAGGAAAGGAGTGGGCATCAACCAGGAAGCAAAATGTTACCAACAAGGACAGGAAGCACCAACAGTTATGAGACCATTTTGTTCCACTTTGAGGAATAGTATTGTTAAAGTTACAAGTTTAAACATTCAGTCATAATTCTAGAAATAGAAAAACACAGAGGGTAGAGAAGAGAGTGTCATAGAGGCTCAAGTTCTTTAATGATCATATGGAAAAACTGGAAAAAAATTACATAATTATCTCCTTACAACTTAAGTTTTATCTAATGTAAATCATCCCTATACCATATAGAGATTCTCTACTTTTGCTTAGTAACTTTTCAAAGGTAGGCAGACAACTTTAAGTATTAATTTTTGTCACACGTCAGCATGGCAAACAGATTAAGATAAGCCTTACTAGTAACTTGATGATAGCTAATGAGTTATTTTTTTCAGCTTGTTGAATGAAAAGCCAGTTGAGGTACACTTAATTTTACTTATTATAAACTGATGTCATAAAACAGAAGCAATATATTAAGCCCATGAATACAGTAATAATACCCTATTACTCTGTTGTGTATTTATGTACACTGTGCTCAAAATACTGTATGGACATAAACTTGAA